CCCCCGCTCTTTTAAAGCCCCATTCAGTTTTTTTTTTTTTTTTTTTTTTTTTTTTGTCTTTTTTTCTTTTTTTCATGTGTTTCTTTTCTCAGATCTTTTTAAAAAAACAGGTTTCCCTCTCCGCCAAGCGCTTTTTTTGTGGTTGTTCTTTTTTTTTTTTTCCTTTTTTTTTTCTTTTTTTGTGTTTTTTTCTCATTTTCTTGTCCTTTTTGATTATTTTTCTGTCTCCCGGGATTTCCTGCGTCAGCCCTTTCCCCGGTGCCTCGTTGTGCCGTCCGGGGGGGGTGGGAAGCGGAGGGAAGCGGGGGGAAGCGGGGGCCACTGGGATGGGGGATGCGATGCCGGTGGTCCTCGGGGCGGCGCTGGGTGCCCGGGGAGGGGGCCAGGCGGGTAGCGACGGTGGCCTCGGTGGCTCCCGGCTCCTGGACATCCCACGGTGGCTTCTCTCCATCACCACCCTTCGGGTGTCCCCTGGGCCGGCCATCCTTTGGGGACCAGTCTCCTCGTCTCGCTGGGGACAACAGGCACCTTCGTCCTCTTCCTCCTCCTCGCCTCGGCCGTCGCGGGGGTCCCTCTGCTCTAAGGCACTGCCACGTCCCTGCGTCCCCTTCCCGGCCACGCTGTCACCGCACGGGACGGGGACGGCCGAGCGCTTCCTCCCGTGCTGCCCCCGGCCGGGGGCTCCTCGGGAGGGCCGGGACCCCTCCCCGCCGCAGTTCAGGCACTTGACGCGGGGCCGGGGACTCCGGGGGACTTCGAGGGGCTCCGGGGGGCTGGCTATGCCCTCGCCGTCGCTCAGGCTTCTTTGCTCCATCCTTTTGTATCCAAAACAAAACAAAACAAACAAAAAAAACAAAAACAAAAAAACCCAAAAAAACCCAAAACCCAAAAAACCAAAACCACCAAACCCAAAAACCCCAAACCAGTCGTCCCGGCAAGCCAGTGCCGAGGACTCCACCTCCTCCTCCTCCTCTTCCTCTTCTTTTCGTGATTCTGTTTTCTTTTCTTCTTTTTTTTTTTTCTTTTTTCTTTTTTTTTTTTTTTTTGACGATTCCCTCTTAAAAGTGCATTTCCTACAAAATGTGCAACACGAGCGCACCCTCTCCTGCCTCCCACCTGGTACCTGTCCACAGGAATGCATAGCTCAAACGCACGGACGCCCGTCCCTCCCCCCCAGCCCCACGGCGCGAGGACACGCCGGGGGACACCGGGACACGCGTGGGGACACACGGGGCCCGGCCCGCTGCAGCTCTGGGGGAGGAAGGCGACCAGAGAGATGGTGACCGGAGCTCCGGTGGCCTCCCGGGAACCGTGAAGGCCGGGCTGCGACAGTCCCCGTGCCGCGTTCCCGAGGGAATCGGGGCGCCACCGCCGCTGTGACGTTTGGGGCCGTGCCGGGAGAATCCCGACACCGTGTCCGCACGGGAACCGAGGCGCCACCGTCGCCGCGACCATCTCTGGCCGTGCCCGTGGACCCTCTGTGGTCACAAGCCCCCTCCTCCTGTGCCACCCGCTCGATCCACCGTGTCACCACGTCTCCGTGCCACCGCATAACCGCCACCGTGTCACCGCAGCGCGATGTCACCGTCCCCGAGGCGCTCGCTCAGCACGGAGCATCACCCGCCCCGAGCGCGACCCGCTCCGCGGGGCTGCGGCAGCAGGAGAGGTTCCCCGATGCGCCCCACCCCAGCCCCGGGGCCCCCCGACAGTCTGGGGCCGGGGGGGTCGGCGGGGGAAGTTTTGATCTTTTTTACTCACATAGAGGCAAGAACGAGAGAGTCAAAGCCGTTTGCATATTCGGCGAGCGGCCGGCGGGGCTCGGCGCCGCGACCCTGCAGCCGCTCCGGGAGGCATTGCTGGCACGACTTGTGTCAGGTCTCAGCGCGGCGCCGGCCGACGGGGTAAATAATAGTGTTTTTTTCTTTCTTTCTTTTTTTTTTTTTTTTTTTCCTGTTTCTTTGTTTTCTGGCGCATCGCCGGGGTGGGGGGAAAGGTCCTCCTGGGATGGGTTGTTGGTTTGTTTGTTTTTTCTTTTCCATTTTAAAACAGTTTGACCCTTTTTCTTCTTCCTTTCCTTCGCTCTTTCCTTCGGGTGTGGGTTTTGCTTGTCGTCGTCGTCGTCGTCGTGGTGAGGCCGCGCTCTCCGTCGTCACCGCAAGGCTGGGCCTGGTGCTCGGGGACGGGGATGTTCCTCTGGGGGTGCCTAAAGCAGAGGAGAAGGGAGGCGAAGGGGCGGCACGGCGGTGGTTATCCCAGGTACCAGGACTGCCGGGAGAGAGGAGAGAGGCCGGCGTTAGTGCTGTGCCCCGCGGAGCTGCCCCGTGCCCCGGCCGGTGCCCAGACCCCCGACAGCTGTCCCCGCGTGTCCCCTGCTCGGGGCCGAGGCTGCGGCCCCACTCCTGCACTGAGTTTGTCCGTCCTCCGCACCGCGGCCACCCGCGTTCCCCTGGGGCCGCTCCCTCTGCACCTTCACAGCAAAGGCGGCTCTCCCCAAGGAATGGTGCCGCCTGGGGACAGGTAGGGGGGTGGCACGGCTGGGGACCCTGCGAGGTGGCCCATTGTTCCCCCCCCCCAGCCCCAAGTTCAAGTTCATTCCCGATTACCTCATGTCTGGTTTCCGTTGGAAACGAGACAGCTCGGGGCCGCTGCTTCCCTTAACCCTTCCAGGCCCCACCACACATGACCAGAGCACGGCAGGTCTCAGCTGCCCCTCCCGGGACATTGCCTCCTTCTCCTGTGCCTCAGTTTCCCCAGGCAGAGTGTCCTCGAGCCCTGGGGAGCCTCCCCGAGCATGACTGGGGACACCCATATGCAGGACCCTGGGGGTCCTGGGACTGTGAGTGGCTGTGACCCCTGTCTCTGGACAGAGACTCTGGCCCCCTGCTCCTCCAAGGTTCTCCTCATCCTGCCCGTGGTCTCCTCTTTAGGGACCCAAGGCCCTCGGGGTGTCCACCCCATATGCAGGACTGGGGAAACTGAGGCAGAGTGGGGGATGTCATCAGAGCCAGTTCCCCCGTGTTTTCCTCTGCAACGGCACAGCACCCTCAGGTGTCTGAGCTCATGGTTCCCAAATGTCACAGCCTGGCACAGCACAGCACCCCCAGCTACCCTGTGTCACCGCTCACAGCCCCCAGGTGCCCACACCCTAGCACAGCACCCTGAGTTCTCCCCTCGGCAAGGGCAGCACCCCAGGGTGCCCCACCACAGCACTGTCCACACCTCCATCCCTCTGTCCTGTCACCCATGTCATCTGCCAGGCAGCACTGCAGCCACTGCAGCTGCCCCTGCAGAGAATGCTGAGGCCAGACCACTCATGTCACAAGTGAGGCCAGGAGCTGCCACCCCCGTCCTGGCACCATGGCACTGCCTGCAGCACCAGTGCCAGCTCCAGAACCCAGGACTAATGGAAAGCCCCTGGAAAGGCACACACAACCTCCCGCTGCAGCTGGAGTGGCCACGGGTACAGCCGAGCGAGAGCAGGTGCCTGTGCCCACACAGAGAGCGACCCACGGCCCTGGTGCTCCTCCTTTGGGGATGTTGTGGGCACCCAGGCAGGGTGGTGCCAGGTGGTGCCAGGCAGGGCACAGCCAGAGCACACAGTGACCTCCCTCTATGATGGAGGACTGATGGTGGCCCTGAGCCACCAGCAGTGTCTAAAGCCCTGGCACCGGGTGCCTGTAGTGAGGATGTCATGGCAGCAATGCCCGTGGGCCACAGCGGTGATGCCAAGGCAGTGATGCCCACAGCAGCAAAGCCAGCAGTGGCAGTGCCAGAGCTGCAGTGTCATGGTGGTGATGCCCGTGGTGGCATTGCACATAGAAATAACCCCACAATGGTGACGTACACAGCGGTGGTGCCCAAAGTGGCGTTGCCCACAGTAGCAACACCCATGGCAGTGATGCCAGGTGGGGACATCCACAACAGCAATGTCTGCAGTGGCCATGCCAGTGGTGGCAATGCCCACAGCAGTGATGTCACTGCTGTGGTGGCACTCCTAGTGGCATCAGACATGGTGGCAAGGCCACAGCGGCGATGGCCATGGAGGCTACATCCACAGCAACAGTGTCCCACGGCAGTGATGCCCACGGTAGTGCCCACAGCAGCAATGCCCACAGGAACAATAAACACGGCAGCAATGCCATGGCAGTGATGCCATGGTGGCAAGGCCCACGGCAGTGATGCCATGGTGGCAATGCCCTCAGCAGTGATGCCACGGCAGGGGTGCCATGGCAGGGATGCCCACATCAGCACTGTCACGTCAGCGACGACCACGACGGTGATGCCAGCACTGGCCATGCCCACAGCGATGCCCACGGTGATGCTGTGCCAAGGGTGTCCGGGGCGAGGGCAGGAGGGTCCCCCCAGCAGCATCCCCGCTCTCACCTGTGCCTGATAGATACTCCCAGGATCCCTTGGTCCTAATCCCACGAAGGAACGGTTCGCAGGGGGCGTGCCTGGTGCAGAGTAGGCTGGGGAACAAATGAGAGCTCATTAACGGGGCTGTGGGTGGCACTGCCACTGTCCCCCCCCGGGCCAGGCCCGGCCCTCTCCCTGGCACTGCTGGGACGGAGCTCCCCGGCACCCGGCGCTGGTGACCGAGTGACGTTCCTGGCTGTGACCTGATGGCAGGCGAATGGAGCCCAGGGGTGCTGCACCCAGGGGTGCTGTGCTTGGACAGTACCACCCGTGGTTTCAGGGTGATGACCGAGGCTGAGGGGGCCAAGTGCCCCGGGGTGCAGGCGCAGATGGTGCTCTCGGCTGTGCCCGCGCTGCGGCTTCTGGAGCTGAGTTGCCACGGGGAGAACAATGGCAGCCACCAGTTCCACTTGGCCATGTCACCCTGCTGCCACCTCCATCCCTCAGCTGGGGATCCAGCAGTGGGGACCTCCAGCCCTGCTGAGCTTCTGCATTCAGCCCTGCTGGAAGCAGAACACTGCCAAGGGGAATGGGGGATTTGGAACCAGCTGCACCCCTTGAGGACAGCCAACGTCCTCCTAACGCATCCTGAGCCTGCAGGAACTTGCACTCCTCTGTCCCTCCTCAAGGCTGTGACCCCATTATCAGCCAGGCCACCCCATGCCATCCCATGCTGTCCCCTCCAGATTGTCCAGGCTTTGGCTTCCTCATGCCGTGGGATGGCTGCTCCTGCTGACCAGCTTCTGGCAATCAGCCATGGCCCATTACCCAGGGACAGGGTAACAGCTCAATCAGGCAGGGCTTGACTGTGTGGGGACACGGAAGCCACTTGGGGAACCATGTCCCATGGGTACAGCAGGATGGGAACAGGAACAACCCCCTGGCAGAGTGTGGCGACAGCACAGTGTCCCTCCACTGCAGCACACACCCCCAATGCCAGTCTGGGGTGACACCAGCTCCCCTCTGGCTGTTTGGCCCAGCACCCAAAACCCTCCTGGCCGAGGCACTTATGGCCCCTGAGGTAGAGCGAAGGGCAAAGAGTTTGTCAGCCACCGTGCTAACAAAGATCTCAGGTGCCACCTGCCAAGGGCTCTGGGGGACCAGCACACAGTCCCTGCACTGGTGTCACTCCACATACCCGACAAGACCAGAATTCCCGGCGCCAAGGACCCCATGCAGCAGAAGTACGACAGCCCACACAAGCACCAGGCACACTGCCCCTAGTCCCAGTGCCACCCGCGTGCCAGCTGCTCCCCGTTCCCGGCAGCACAGCCACCGCCATGGTGGGATAAACAGACACGGAGAAGCCACAGCTTCCCCCGCAGCACAGCTCACACTGAGGATCTGGGCAAGACACTGGTTTGGGAAGCTCTGCTGTGGCTCCACTCATGCTCAGAGGAACAAGGGGCTCGAGCTGGTCCCTGGGACCAGCACGTCACCCCCTGGCTCAGCAGCCACAGCAGCCACCTGCCCAAACCCTGTCCGCTGCGACCTGCCTGAGACCCAGCAAACTCATGGCGTGCCAGCTGCCGCCCTCTCCCCGGCTGCGGGGAGGCCACCTCCGCCAACATCCCCCCAGCACCGGGACAGGGGGACACCCTGGGGGGCTGCGAGAGGAGGGGGCCAGCCGGGCCGGGGAGCAGGGTGGGCGCCGCGGGTGCTTACTGGGTGATGTCGGCGAGGTCGTCCCTCCCTCGGAAGTTGTCGTGGTGGATTTGGTGTCAGGAGAGACGGCCAAGCGGGGCATGCCGGGGGGAGGTGGCGGCGCCAGCATCTGCGTGGGCAGGTAGTGGCTGGGCACTTTCACTTGACCACTTCCATTTAACTGGGGACAACACAGACAAAAAACAAACAGCACAAGCCATTAGGACGCATGCGGACACCAGCACGGCCGGGGAGCCCCGGGGACACCCCCGGCACAGGCACGGCGTGTCCCTCACTGCAGACATGAGTTTGTTGGGTCTCAGAGCGGCCCTGAACGGTCGGCGTTGGCAGCAGGCACGAAATGACGGCGGGACAGGAGGGATCTGGGGGGGTTGTGGAGGACATGCCCCATGGGGGTCATGACCCACAGTGGCGCACGCTGGAGCCAGGGTGCTGGGACCCCTCTCTACAGTGACAGGGTGGTCTCTGAAGCACTCCCTGGAGGGGTAGGGGCACCCAGAGCCTCCAAAGGCTCCTGCACCAGTGCTCTGTGCCCAACCCCGCTGTGATTGCTCCTGATCCGGTGGCCATCAGCCCAGCACTGAGCCACTGCATAGGAGCCACTGCCACAGCAGCCATGTCCCTCACCCTGGCATCAGGCCCTTCTGGTGAGGGGAAACGGGCAAGTGGTGGGCAGAGGTCAGAGGGGCTCCCCTAGAACCTCCACATCTGGGAGGACTGAGGGAGGCACAGGACAGTATGGAAGCAGGAACACCCCCAGGCTCTGGCTTTGGGTAAGAAGGCTGCCATTCAAGAGGTGCATGGCGTGCTGGTGGGTGTGCTGTGTGTTGGGGATGCTGGGTGTATGGGGTGATGGTTTGGGTGCTGCATGCACTGGGTGCTGGGTGTGCACAGTGCTGGTACAAAGTGTTTGGTGATGGGGGCGTGGGGTGTGGGGTGCTGGGTGTGTGGGGTATGTGGGGGCCCGTGTCTGTGGGGTGCACTGGGTGCATGGGGATGCAGGGTGCTGTGGCAAGGGAAGGCCCACAGCAGCATGGTGTGGCTCTGCCACCCTCATGGGGACACTGGGGGCACGGGTACGGTGAGGAGCCGATGGGTCACCCCTGGGCTCTGCAGGTGGATGGGGCACACCAAGCCCATCACTCTCCTGGACACGCTGGTGGATGGTGACTCCAGGAGATGGTCACACACCCCAGGCAGACACCTCGCTCCCCCCAACACCCCAACTCCAGCTGACGGCTCAACACCAGCACCCCAACACCCGCGGTGCCCCGTTCTGAGCTGGGGCACGGCACCTCATCACTGCAGACACGAGGTGCCAACATGGAGCGGGCGCAGCAGCGCTCCCAAACCAACGCACGGCACGGCCGGAGCTCAGCCCCAGAGAACGTCCCAGCGGTGCCACCATACGACCCCGACCCCCCCATGCGGCGGCAGAGGTGACGGCGGCGGTGCCGGTCCAGGGGACTCTCCTCGGGCAGCAGCGGCCCCCGGTGCCCACGGCAAGGCGAGCGATGGGTGTGGGGACAGGGCTGCGTCCTTACCGGTCCGGGCTGCTGGTTGGACGGGTCGCAGGCCAGCGAGACGAGATCTTTGAGCGGGTCCTGCGGGTTGAGATGAGGCGGGTACCGGATGGCCGTGTGCGGGAAGTACGTGGAGGCCGTCTGGGGAAGGATGGAGGTGGTGGGGAAATGCAGCGCAGATGATGGGTGCGGGCTTCGGGCGATACCTGCGGGAGACAGCAAAAGGGGGGACACACCTGTGTCATTAGCCAGTGGTTGCTCCAGCACCCCGATCGCTCAGCCCTCACTCCGTGCCTCAGTTTCCCTGGCAGGACACTCACCACTGTGCACAGCGATGACGGGACGGTGGTGCTGCGTGAAGCTGCTCAGCCGGGGCGAGGAGTCCTGGGGCGATGGGCTGTTGAAGGGGGACTTGTCCATCTCTGTCTTCTTCACGGTGGGGGAGATGCCTGGGGAAAGTGGGGTGCAACATCAGGACCTGCCACGGGACCCCGAATCCCGTGGCTGCTGCCATCTCAGTGCAGTGTTAGGGGAGCTCATTCTGGGGACAGGGTGCACCCCGGGGTCAGGGTGGGCGTGGGGAGGGTGCGATGTGAGCGTGTGTGTGCCGGCAGGAGGGTGGGCACCTATGTGCATGAATGTGAGTGCATGTGTTGTACCAGTACAGCTGTGTGTACCTGCGTGTGTGTTCCTGCAGGTGTGTGCATGCACGTGCACACAGCTCTGTGCGTGTGTGTCCCATCCTGCTGGTAGAAGTGCGTGCCCTCATGGGTGCCACTGTGACCCTGCAGCCCCCACCTCTCCTGGCACATGGGGCTGGGGCTACAGGAGCTCCTGGGGGGGCAGAGAGGTGCCAGTATGGGGGTGACCTCCGCAGAGACCCCTGGAAGCAGCAGCTGCCCAGGTCCCCGAGGCCACCCCAGGGCATGGGGCTGAATGGGGGGGTTGGTAGGCACATTAATCCCCTGCTGCTGTGGCTTTAGCTCTGGGCCTGGTAATGGTTTTAGCCCTTTCTCAGCCGGGCGTTAGGAGGATTTCCCAGAACATCCCGTACAGGATTGCCAAGCCCCCCTGCTGCCAAGGCTGAGCCCCCCGCCAGCCGCCCTCACCCCTGCCCGGGTCAGGCCACTGGCAGGGGACACATGCCCTGGCACAGCTCCCTCCTGCCACCATGCACCATTTTGGGGAGGGGGCTGCACCTTCCCCAGGATCCCCCGTGCACCAGCCCTGTGGGGCAGGATGAGGCACAGTCCCTGCATACACGGGACACAATCTGGGGGCTGGACCTGCATCCCCCAAACTTCCTTCCAAGAGGATCGATGCCTCCAGCTGGGCACCCCCAGGCTCTGGCAGGGCCAGAGGGCTGGCGTGGAGCCCACCCCACTGCTGGGGGAGGCAGGAGAAGAGCCAAGGGAGGAGGAAGAGGAGCAGCTTCTTCGCCTGCACCTCAGGGTGTGGGAGCTGCTGTGCCAGCCCTGCAGCATCACTTTAATTAGCCCAGCCCCCCCTTTCTTAATGAACAGCTAATTGGGGCTTGTCTAGACAGGAAAGGGGAAAAAAACACTAAGCCAGAAAGCTGTCCACAGTGATGTGGGGCTGGGGGAGCTGACTTGGGGCCTGGGGAGGCTGGTGTGGGGCTGCAGGATCAGGAGTGGGGCTGGAGGCTGGATTGGTCCTACAGACAGAACCCATGTTGAAACAGGGCTCCCTGTAGCAACACTGCAGCCCCCACAGAGCCCTGTCCAAAATGGGGGGCCATTTGGGCACCTATGGAGAGCCTCTGCCTAAATCAGGGAGGTTTGACAGCAGCCCCACAGACCCCATGGAAAAGCAGCAGGGATGTTCTGGGGGACTTGAGGATGGCATAGCAGCCCCCACATCCAGTGTGTCCTGTGACCTGAAGGTCCACAGGGATACCATGGCACAGATGGTGCACAGATGGTCACAGGGGGTTCTGGCAGTGGTTTGTGGAATGCTGGGAGCAGGGTGGGGGCCCCAGGGCACTGGAAGGGTACTGGTAAAGAGGTGACACCTACCCCCTTCCATGTCTTCTGTCCAGTTGCGGCTGCTGCTGGTGGGGGAGTTGGAGGAGGTGTAGTACTCGCCCCCAGGGCTGGTGTCGATGTCATCCTCCATGGACCCCGACTTGTGCCGTTTGCTCCTGGGGACAGGGAAGGGTCACAGAATCATGGAATGGTTTGGGTTGGAAAGGACTTTAAGCTCATTTCCTTCCATCCCCTGCCATGGTGGGGCACCTTCCACTACCCCAGATCATTCCAAGCCCAGTCCAACCTGGCCTTGGACATTTCCAGGGATCCAGGGGCAGCCACAGCTGCTCTGGGCACCCTGTGCCAGGGCCTGCCCACCCTCACAGGGAAGGGAACCCATCTAACCCTGCCCTCTGGCAGTGGGAAGTCATTCCCTTGTCCTGGGACACCATTCCTTGTCCAAACTTCCTCTTCAGCTCTCTTGGAGCCCCTTTAAGCACTGGAAGGGGCTCTGAGGTCTTCCTGGAGCCTTCTCTTCTTCAGGGTGAACACCCCCAGTTCTCCCAGCTTGCCATAGGTCAGTGCCAGCCCGTGGCAGGATCTGGCTGCCCCTCACCTTCCCCATGGCCGTGCTCGGGCTGGCCCCGGCACCGCCCTGGCACAGCCCTGGTGGCACCTACCCACTGGAGGAGGTGCTGGGCAGTGTCCTCCTCATGCCGGTGCTGGAGGGGTTCAGGTCATAGGCCAGGTGGCCCTGCAGCTCCCCCAGGGAGAAGTTTGGCCCTGTGCCCGTCACCACCGGCGCTGTGGGAAGAGAGTGGGGTCAGGGGGGACCGGTGGGGAGGGGGGCCCCCAGCCCACTGTGGGGTGGGGGGGCTGTAGGGACGCTGCTGTGCCCAGGCAGGCGAGGGTTGGGCTGTGGCATCACAGTCAAACTCACTTCGGGACACTTGGATGAGCTCGGTGACACTGAACACTCCCGAGGTGACGAAGCTTTCCTGGAAGTCTGTTGAATCTGTGCGGGAGAGAGGAGGGCGCGCTGAGGGGGCAACAGGACCATCTCTCCCATCCTGCATTGCCTTGTGACAATGCTTGAGGGCACCTCAAATCCCCATCTGTCCCCCTCCTCAGTCTCCACTCCCTGCTCCAGCAAGAGACCATCCCAACTGGTCCCCTCTGCTGAAGATGCCCCAGACCTGCTCAATGCCTCAGTTTCCCTGTGGCTGAGAGTGCTTGCAGGGCTTGGGGCTGCACCCCCACCATGGGACCCCCATGGCAGCTGCCGTGCCCAAGGGCTGTGGCCTCAGTGGGACTGTGCTGGGTGTAGGACAAGGCTAAGGCTATGCCCAGCTCATTGCAGGGGCCAGGCAGGGGCTGGGGGACACAAGTGCACAGGCAGCTTGATTATGTGTCATGGGTCCCCTCCCCCACCATGGCAGGGACCCTGGGGACAGGCTGGGGTGTCCCTCGTCCTCTTGCCCAAGCCCTGCCTGCTGCGCTCACCCAGCGTGATGGGTTTGCTGTCCTCCTGGTCCGAGCCAATGCCTGTCCGGGGGCTGCTGCTCTGCTCTGCATCTGCAAAAGGCAAAGCCACCAGGGTGAGCCCCCCCTGCCAGCGTTAGCCTCCACGCCAGTGTGAGCCAGCGCTGCCCAGCAGCTGACTGCCCCCTCATTGCCCTGCTGGGGGAAACTGAGGCATAGGCTGCCCAGCAGCTCTCACAACACAGTGGGGCCACCACCAAGCTGGCGTGTCCCCAGCCACTGAGGAACACTCACCAACCAGCCCCCATTGCCCTCCCTGCCAGCGACAGGAGCAGGGACAGCCCCACATGGAGGATCTGGGCACTGTTCCTTGCAGGAAGGGAATCCCCAGTTCTGGGCCAGGTGATGGTCACCTGGCCCTGCTCCTGCCTCACCTCCTCTCCCTCTCCTCTATCTCTGACCCAGTGCCACCCCACCAGGCAGTGTCACTGGAGCATGGCATAACCTGTGGCACCTTGTCCTGCCTCTGCCCAGCTCCTGAAGGGCAGCAGGGCTTGGGGCAGCACCTGCTCTGACCCCTGGAGCCCTGTCTGGCCCTGCTCCCTCTTGGCTAAAAATATCCCAGCTCAGCAGCTCTGTCACGGCCTGGCACAACCCAGACACTGCAGTCAGGCGCATCCTTCCTCACCTGGCTGCTCCCAAAGCCCTTCCATAACTTTTGCCAAGTATTTCTCCCCCATACTCCTTCTTTCCCCTGCTTCTCCATCCTCCTCTTCCTCCCACACCTTGGCCTTCGGCATTTCTCTCTGGCAGCGTTGGCAGATGCCAGGAAATGGCTGAGACAATCCAAAAACACCATCAAAATCATGCAGCTGCCACTGCCAGCCCTTGTGCCCGCCTTGGGATTTTTCCCTTTCTCCCTGTTTTTTCCTCCTTTTTCTCAAGTCCCTTGCACTCACATGTGGCTCCCAGACTGGTTATCCTTGGCTGGGCAAGTTATCCACGTGGGCCTCATGCCACCCCTCAGCCTGACACCCCTGTGTGCCCCCAGCCCCTGGGACTGCTCAACCCTGCTGCTGAATCAGCCATTTTGTCTCCCTGCCCAGCTGTCGCCGTCCCCTCCACCCAGCCCGTGCCAGCCTGGCACCTCGCTGGCCGCCCCATGGCATCCTGCCTTGATGCTGCTCACCACCAGCAGCCTCCTTGTGCCCGCACCCCTGGCTCCTTCCAGGCAGCCATTTTAGGGAGCAGAAACTCCCCCTGGAGACTGGCGCAGGGTTTTTTCCTTCCCTTCTCTCCATTTCTCTTTTTCTAACTGCATTCCCCCATTTTGAAGTGGCTGTGTGCCCACGTATTGGGGTGTGGGTGATGGGAGTGAGAGGGGCACAACCCAGCTGGGACGGGGAGAGTGGCAGTGGGGACCCCCCGCGCATCCACGGGCACCGCGGGGCCGGACATGGCCCCTCCTCGCCTCTAAAAACAACAAATCCGGCGGCAGCTCTGGAAGTGGTTAGTGGTGGAGCCCAGCCAAGGTGCAGGACGGAGGCTGGTGGTCACAGCCTGAGGCCAGCCCGGATCCCCACAGCCCCTCTCCGTGGCCTCAGGGCTCCCTGGGACCTCACTTGTCTCCTAGATGGCACCCACTTGCCCAGTCCTGAGGTGCTTGGTCTCTGGGTAGCCCCCCAGGCCATGCCCTCGCCTGGTACCGCAGAGGTGCTCACTCAGCCCTTGGTTCAGCCCAGGGACCCCCACTCATCCCGAGGTGCGCCGCGTGGACTTTTGCCCATACCAAACCACTCCAGCCCGGTCTCTGCTCCCCCAGGGCCATCACTAACCCCGGGTGCCCACCGGGTGGGCCCCATGTCCCTGTACCCCCCACACCATCCCACAGCACCACCTGACCCAGCACGGCCAATGCCACCTCACCGAGCCCTGCTCCTAAGGGACTCTTTGGGGACCTGCCCCCAAAGCGAGCGCTCCTCTCCCACCCACAGCAGCCCAAGGAGCACCGGGGCCTTTGCCGAGCTCGGAGGTTTGGCAGCAGCCGCTCTCAGCACCCTCGTGTCGGGGCTGATGGAGGCGGTGGGTGCGAGCTTGGGGCTCTGTACCCGGGTGCTCCTCGTGGCTGGGCGGCTGAGCTTGCCAGCAGATTTCTGGCTGCCTCCTCGGCGCAGAGCGGCCGGGCCAAGCGCTGCTCTCACCGCCATGTGACGGCCGCCTGCGCCGGCTGGCGCGCTAAAATGGCGAAGGGAGCCCTGGGCTCACGGGCCTCGCTCCCCTCAAGGGGTGTTTTGAGGAGACTCTAGATCCAGGACCCAACAAGTGGCTCGACTGCACCAGAGAGGAGAAAGAAGCCTGTAAAGCTCCCCCACGCCCCCGCTGCTTCGTTGATCCTGCACCCTCCACATCCCCTCGGAGGGCCGGGATGGGGGATGGAGGTGGGGGTGGTCCTGTTACATTATGGAGAGCTCGGGGGGGGGGTGAGGGGGCCAGTGCCAGGGTCGTCTCCGGCGAGGCGGGGGAGAGTGCTCAGTGCCCAAACAGGTCGATCCAATCTCTTTTAAAAATAGCCAAGTGTGTGCCCGGGGGGGCCGCGGGCTGCCTGGGCTCTGGGCCGCGCTGGCAGCCTGGCCCCGCGCCACCCATTGAATTATGGATCCCGCACCCCGGCCCCGCTGCTTGGCACGGTGCCCCCGGGCCCCACGGCGACACCCGCCCGCGGTCTCAACGCGTGGGAACGACCCCCGGGCAGCAGGGCCGGCCCCGGGGGGTGTCACTGCAGGCCGGGTACCCCCCGGGGCCGGCGCAGCTGCGGGAGAGCCCTGGCTCGGTGCCCGGGCGCTGACGGTAACAGGGCACGGTGTTACCGGCAAAGCGCGGGCGCAGGCGCAGAGGCCGGAGGATGCCGGGGGCTGGGGGAGCTGCTGGCGCCGGTGTGAGCAGTCCCAGCCCCCCATCGAGGGCAGCAGCCTTCCTCCTTCTCCCCCGGCTCTGCCAGCCGAGAGCAGGGGATGGGCGAGGGTTCAGCAGTGCTGCCTGCAGGCGTCTGCCCCGTGCCTCAGTTTCCCTTGGGGGCTGGCTCGGAGGGGGGGGGGGGAACTGCCCCCCCAGCCTCACGTTCCGTGGCCACGCAGCCCCAGCACCTCCTCAGATGTCACTGCACTCCTCCGGATCAGCGTGGCCACAGCGTGGACCAGCAGGCCCCAGAGTGAACAGCCCGGTCAGGATGGAAGACCCCTGGAGACCGGAGGGAGCCAATGTGCCGTGGGGCAAATCCCATTGCAAGGGCTGGGGCAAGCGAGGCTGTGGGAGGGTGTGATTTGGGGGGCGTGCCCTGTCGGACCCCCAGAACTCCTCATCCCTGTCCCACAGTGACGCCCAGGTCCGAGCGGCCCTGCCCGCCCGCTGCCCGTCCCACTGTCCATCCCTCTGCCGCCAGGCTGGGGTGGCCCTTACATAAACCCGGAACCGTCCTGCTTGTGTAACCTCCTTTATATAACACCCTGAACCGCCGCGTGTGCCTGGTAAATCCTGGCTGAGCCGGGCCGGCCGGGCTGCGGGACCCCCTCCCCCCTCCACGCTCTTTATAACGCCCGGCGCCCCCCGCCATGCCCGGAGCGCTGCGGGGCCGCCGGGGTGAGGCGGCTTTGCTGGGCCTCAGCCACGAACGCTGCGGGGGCGGCAGCTTCTCCTCCCCCTGCCGAGCGAAGCCCCGGGGAGGTCCTGGCCGGAGGCATCCCCCGAGGTGCGGGGGGGACGGACGCGCCCCGCTGCCACGTACGCCGGCCGCGGCCAGCTGGCCCGGGCTGGAGCCTGCGAGGCTCGAGCACGTTGGCCGGCGGCTGCGAGCGAGCGGCGCTGGGAGCGAGCGGGTTTGTCCTCGGCCGACCCCGGCCGGCACGGGGAGATGGCAGCGGCCGGGGGGAACCCCCCCAGGCGGGCGGCGCGGCCGCCCCCTCGCTCAGCCCTGCCAGGCCTGGGCTCCATCCAGGGCTGCCGGCGCCCGCGGAGGCGAGCGGGGACAGATGGCAGCGGGGAAAGGGATGGGGAGAGTGGGACAGACAAAGAGAAGGCTGAGCCCCCCCCTTCCCTGGGACTCTCCCCTGCGGGGTGCTGGCATCCAGTCCCTGCTCCCTGGGCTGGGGGCATCTGGGGGTGCAGCTGCAGGGAGGGGGTGGGAGAGAGGAGAGACGTTTGGGAGAGGGAAGAGAGGGAAAGGAGAGAAAGGCAGGCAGGCAAGGCAGGAAGGCAGGCAGGCAGGAAGGAAAGGAAGGAAAGGAAGGAAGGAAAGGAAGGAAGGAAGGAAAGGAAAGGAAGGAAAGGAAGGAAAGGAAGGAAGGAAGGAATTAAAGTATTAAAGTGAAGAGAAAGGGAAAGGAAAAGGGACACGGAAAGGGAAATATGTTGCCGCTATCTTGCTGCCCCACCAATCCCAGCCCTGTGGCAGAGCCCCACAGCACAGTCAGCCTCCCCCCCAAGTCCGATGGGCCCCCACCATGGCTCCTCCGATTCTCCCCCAAAACAAGCCCCAGTATCGCCACCATGAAGGGCTGAGGCGGCAGGTTCAAGCCCTTCTCAGGCCTGGCCAAGGCCCCAGTGCAGGGGCCAGTGTGAGAGGGGACTATCTCCATACCCCAACTGGCAATGCCAACCCTGATCGGGGGTGTAGGGGCACACCGGGGGCTTGCCGGCGTCTGTTCCCCTCCCCTCCCGCGGCCATGGGCAGGAGGGAGCACCGTGGGCATCTGCCGCCCCAGCTGTCCCTTGCCAGCGCAGCACGAAGCCGGGAACCCGGCCAGGATGGCAACTGCGGCCCCGGGGAGGGCACGGGGCTTGCCAGCGCGGGGGGACGGCGGGTGGCGAGGGCGGGGGACGGCAGGTGCTCGTGAGAGGAGCTCGCTCATCTTTTATTCATCGGGTGCCTAACGGTGTGCG